ACAAAATTCCACCCGTGATACCAAGTCTCCGTCTTTCAAATGTTGAACACCGTAAAATTTAAACAGTTTCCACTTATGTTTTAATAAAATACGGTGTATGGCTAGCCCAGGGAATTCGAAGAGCTACTTTTGCATCTCTTATGGAATTTTTCGGGTATGCAGTGAAATAGGCAAGAATTATGGTTTCATTTACCTCATTGTCAGTAACATGTTTCGTTTTACTAAATTTTTGAGAAAATATTCCAAATTCCCGACAATTCCTCAGTAGTAACCTCTTTACAATACCCTTACTTGGTACGGGAAGAGTTGGGGTATAATTCAATAATTATCATGTCGCGTAAACATCGACAATTTTTTTTTAATCGACGGGAACTCACTCAAAAGTGTGGAAAAGTGTTAAACGTACCGAAAAATGACTTTAAAGTTTCGACGTGACTACACTTTTTGTGACGTCATCGACCGTGCTAACCATATAGTGCCCATTATACAGGGTGATTCACATAAGAACCGACACAGAACACGGACATGTAGAGGACTATAAATTAAGATGATTTAACACAACTTATCTCTACACTAAGTTGAGGCAAGGTGTATAGAACATAAGGTTACCGTTCCCTATGCCTCTGTAGTCGATTATTACAGAATTATTACGATTATCGATTATTACCCCGCGGATTGACGTCACTGGTTCGATACAGTCAGAGTAAAAGATAGTCTATACGTGCCTATACTGTGGTACAGTCGTTGATTAAGGGTGATGGTCCTCTAAATTATGACAGATTTTTTTAACCTTTTGGTGAATTTTTGGTGAACACACCTATGGAGTGTACAACTTAGTATAGAGGTAAGTTACGTTAAATCATCTTAATTTATTGTCCTCTACATGCCCCTGCTCTGTGTCGGTTCTTATGTGAATCACCCTGTATATAGAATATAGTATACAGTGTCCGCCAAAAAGTCAGCAACACCTGTTTTATTTCTGTTCCATTGCATCAACGTTCCTGAAATTTAGCTTATATGGTAGGCTCATACCGATCTTTCGATCTAAAGTATTTTCAAGATGGTAGCCACTTCCGGTCCACCGGAAGTAAACCTCAACTTCGCTATTTTAAATGGAATGCTATAATTTTTATTGCTCCTTTTAATTGTATGCGAAAAAATATGTTGACTTTGATAAATGTTACTGGTACCTAGCATTTTTTGTTTTCGAGTTATTTTGATTTTAAGGTTTTGTTTGGTAAATTTCACCATGCTTTTAAAACCCCATATCTCAGCCAATATTCATTCAAGAAAGCTCTAACTTGGTACGATTACTCTTCAGATGATATCAAATTGATTGCCATGTGTTGTATCAGAGTATCTTATATCTTGGTAAATGTTGACTTTATAAAAAAATATTTATACAAAAGTTGTTTAATATTTTATTTGTCATTATAAGACTGCATTCGATTGTTTTTAATTCTGAAAACAAATGAGTAACGAATAACACTTGAATTTTTTTAAATGGTAGTTAACCATGTGTAACTCAGCAAAATTTGCTGCGCTGACATACTGATACTGGCGCACCTAAGTGAGTTAGCGCAATGTATCAACTCAATTCGCCATAACGCAGTTGCTGATGCATCATATCTATCGGTGATATCATATGCGCCGGCGCAGCTAGCCTGATATCTCGTTCCAAGTTCTAGCAAATGCAGGTTTTATATGTGACTAAGGGCTAGAATTTTCACCTACATATCTGTAAATTTTTAATAGCTATTTGACAGATCTGCCAGATTTTTAGCCCTGTTAAACTCCTCAAAATGAGAATATGTTACGGTGGCGGTGTACAGAATGTGAATCTTAAAGAGTACATGGCGCGTTTTGTACAACGTCGCCATTATATTTGCTCATTTGAAAGGCTATAATAGGGTGATAAATCTGACAGATCTGTTGCATACCTATTGAGGACTTTATAGATAGTTGAAAATACCAGCCCTAAGTCTTATGCCGCCTGTACCATAGCAGTTGTGCGTTAAACTTTGGGTCTACGAGTGTGTTGCACCTATCTAGTAAGCCACACCAGCGTACGCTACTACGCCAACGATGGCGCAATTGAGTTGACTCATTTTAAAGTTGGGTATCGGCGCACGTAACATGCTGTATTGAGTTAACTCAATTGCGCCGCGCAGCGCAGTGTTACACATCTCTATAGTGTACCCTTTCGTTAGGCTCATTTTATAGCGAAAATATACAGAATGCCCATTATGTATGGAATATAGTATACAGGGAGTCTCGTATCTTCCGCATCAGAGCATTATACAGGCGTTCGTTGACGCGATCTTTCTAATAAAATTTTTCTGCAATGTTTATAATAACCGCACGGGAACTGTTTTTCGACGTCCAATGGCAAATCGTAAATCAGATTCTGGTAATCGGCCCAACCCTCGGCCGGACCGCCGCGCCGATCAAAACACGTTTCTCACGTGTACTTACCAATAGATTCGACACGCAAAGAGAAATAAACTTTTTTCGTGAATCAAAATCGTCTGTTATTATAAACATTTCGAAAAAATTTTATTAGAAAAATCGCTTCAGAATAATGCATCCTTCAACCGTATAGTGCTCTGATGCGGATGATACGGGACAGCCTGTATTTTTATTGAAAGAAAAGTGGAACTAATACTAGACCTAGAACTAGAAATATTCTACTTACTAGTAGATATTCATGAATCATTCGGGTTTAGCCGTCTTGACAGACGTGGGGTTAAATCCGAATGTTTCTAGTTTTCGATCTAGTGTTAGTTCTAGTATTAACACAGAGTCTATTGACACACAGTGTCTATCTTGAGTCTATCTAACGACACGACAGGTAGTCAGTCGTTATGCATCGAAAGTCTAAGAAAAACAAGGGTGTTTCATCCGTAAATATACGTTGTAATCTCACCTAGTTTAGTGAAAATAACTTTACTTTTAAGTTTATCAGATTGATTTTGTGCGTGGCTATAAAATAACAATTTGTAGGTTAGGTGTTGACCGGTTTAATAGGAAAATGCATGGTTAACATTGCTTGTGACGTCACATCGAATCTTGAATGTGATTTTTCGGTATGTTCTACACTTTTCCGCACATTCTTTTTATTTTTAATGTGTTTTTTTGGGTCATTACAGATTGATTAAAAAAAATCGTCGATTTTTAAGCCATATGATGATTCTTGAATTTTTCCATTTAAATAATCCTCATTACTAAATCCCAAACGTGGCATTTTTTGAGAACAGAACATTGCAAAATGTAACCTAGTTATCACACCAAGTGAAATAAACTATAGCCTTAGCAAATCTCAAACTGTTTAGTTTTTCCGTCCTTCATTTGTTTTGTAATGTCTTTTCTATTTAGCGATTTTTCTTGTGATTCTGCTTAAAACTCGTTTTAACACGATAAATATACATTTTAGGCATAGGACATTCTGCATAAAATTGATCCAAAATTTTTCATAAAATTCAAAAATTACGTCATATGTTACGGTTACCATTCTCCAGTTCAACTTTGATATCATAATTTGAATAGTCTGTATATCATTTCGAAGAATCTTACTGATCTTTGGATAATGCATTACTACCACAATATTCCTAACACAAAACATTGTTTTTCAGTGATCAGGCTAGATGATTTATAAATTATTGAAAGTNTCACATTAAATATCTGTTGTAATTTACTGAAATACCTATATATTATTGTGTATATCTGTGTACATGCTAGTTTGTGTATACGTATCTCATTTGAGCGCGAGTGTGCGCTAGAATTGAAATTTTCTTGTTCAGGTGGGTGGCGGCCCAGTGCCTTGTACATTCCTAAATTTTGGCCCGAAGAGTAATTTGGGTTGGACATGGCTGATCTAAATCCATAACATCTTTCATAAGTAATTGTTTTCTTATGTTTAAAGCATTAATAACCAAATATGAACAGCCATTTATAGAAGTGTCAAATCAAAAATCAACGTTTAGCTAGTTTTGTTATATTAGTTTAAAAAATAATAGTTTTTTTGACGATGGTAAATGTCCAAAATATATTACTAATATAAAAAAGGCAAATAACACAACTGCAAACATTTTTTTAAGTAATTATAGTAAAATGTGCAGGAATACTTTACTTGTACGTTCAACAGACTACCGAAAAATTAAAAAGCTAATATATGGCCTTATTTGGCTTAATTTTGCTTCCTGGACATGTCCTAAAATAAAATATTTCCATTTCCTCCCGAATCGCCCTGTATATAAGTAGTTACTTCTGCTATATTTTCATTCAATCTTATCCTGTTAATGTTCATTTAGATTGATACAATTCATTTAGAGATAAGATTAGCACATAAATACAATAATGGTGCAGGTTGGGCAGGTTAGACTTTAATAGAGATCTTACATATATGTAGAAGTAAACTGTGACAAGTACAACACCTCAGCAGAATCTATTATTTTACACATAAAGTAAGTGTAATAACAAAATAAATTATCGAAAACAATAACTTTAAAAACACAAAAAAATAAAGTCCGCATATAAATAGAAGTTGTAAAAGTTATGACATCAGTAGCCACACAAGTTATGAACGACGTGCTTTTTTAAAATTTTCAGTCTACAAATCAATTAGCAAAATGCCCGAAGCTTTGATATTAAAAGAAGAACATATAATCATCCGTGAAAAGAGTAAGTTACGAATGCACAAATAAAGGCACTGTAGAAAATACAGTTCCAAAATCGGGCAGAAAGAAGGTAGGATGTAATAAAGAACAACAAGAAATCATAAGAAGACTGAACGCGTCAAACGTTTTAAAATTGCTCTTAGAAGATTTACGCTATGAGTATTCCGGAGACGGAAAGTACGGTAGATACCAATATGCAAATTGAAGACGAGACTGTATTAGTCTTCCACCACTAAACAAGTGGCAAGAAAGGCTACTTGAAACTAAAAAGCTTAATTATAAAGCAAACAGGTTGGTGAGCAGAAAAACAACAAAATGCAACAATCTGCTTGAACTGTTTTAATTTAAACATTTTTAGTAAGAAAAGCTTCAATGTCCAAATTTAACTTAGAACCACTGTATAAAAATCATTAGTAATCTTAATTTTAGACAAAGAATCTGAATTTAATATTATCGCATTTGTAGAAAATCAGACTGTGTATTTTATGAGCAAGATCGAATCATACCTTGTAGTCATAATGGTGCAATATACGTGATATTCTGAAATATATTTTGAAAAGATCTCATCTCAACCTCTTTGGCCAAGATGAGTCCTTTTCAAAACAATTATTATGGACATTGAGCATATTGACTTAAGCATGATAGCATGATGATATTCTTAAAATTTAAAACATTGCGTGAAACTGATATTGTTAATATATCTTAATCAGTTAATATATCGTAATAATATTACTTTTACAGAAGTTTGAATAACTGAAAATAATTTTGTGAACAGTTACATAATATGCAGTACACAGAAAACAAGCAGAGTTAAAAGGAAAAGTTACATCTTGGGAACTTTAACAAAAAAAATTATCAAAAAAGCAGATCCCAAAATGTACAGGTTGCACGTACACATGCGTGCCACAAAGAATTATTCTGAAGCTCTGTGGCAATTATTCTTTGTAGAACACTTGTGTACCTATCCATAGCACAGCCATAAAAGACTGGTTGTTCCTAACTACATATCACACATATATGTGTAATCATTGAAACATCTCAGCAGTATATTGTGTAAATAACACATATTGTCTTCCACAAAGACAAGCATAGAATCTCTTATGAACTTTCTAAAGAAATTTGGAGACCCGGCTGCTCCTGACGTTAGTTGGCCATGGGTAAAATTGCTAGTTGATTCAGCCAATTGCAATATGGCTACTGGAAATCATGATTTTTTGAGCTTAATTTGTGTGTGGATTGTCACCAGAAATGACCCAGATCATGACATTGGGAAGGCTTCAACTATTGCTAAGATATCAGCTTTAAACATGACAAATAATGCTAGAATTATTGAGAGAAAAGAAAATTTAAAAATTTTTTTGCACGTGGTTTGTTGACAATGTTCTTCCGATTTTTCGTTAGTTTCATTGCAATTTAAAGACTCGCCCCGAGGAAGTATCGAAATTGATACGAAATATTGGCAGAATCAATTAAATTGTGGTTTTTTTATTACCCTCAATCCTCCCTGAGAATAATTATTACTCAAAGTGCTGCTAACGGGATTGAACAAAATCTCCTGCTTGGTAAATAATATACAAATTTATGTTGGACTGATAATAACCCACATGTGACAGTGGAAAATCACGTTCAGCATCAATTTTCCTTTTCCGTAATTAATTTGATAGACCTACTGAAGTATGTTTCATTGAATATCAGACAAAATGTTTACTATCAACGTAATGGCCCCATTTTACTTGCACAATGATTGACCATCTTAAATCCATGTAATTCGTACACAAGCTGAAACAAAATGAAAAACATGTAATTAATTAATTGACAAGTATTGTAATTCATTAATTTATATGCAGTATCTATTCCATATTTCATAATTATTAGACAAAATTGTTACTACGAACGCTTCCATATGGTGCATAGTAGTAGAAAATTATAACTGGTTATTCATTTCTGTTAAAACTTTTTAGTAGTTTCATTATTACTGTTAATTTAAACCAAACTTGTGTGTGTTAGAAGACGAAGATGATATCTTCTTGTTGGGTAATTATGAAAGCAAATAACTTGACCATGAAATCATGGAAGAAAACTCGATTATGGAGACAGAATGATCAACCCACGCGACAGAAGTGAGAACGGAGATTTGTTACACCTGTATTTGTTGTAATTTGAATATTTAAAAATATCTTTTGAATTGAATTTATTGCTGTATATTTAGTATTTAAAATAAACTTATAAAGGTATGCAAGGAAAATATGACATTATCCTGAAAGCTGCAAATTATTAGTGCATTCAGGGAAGAATTGTTTATGAACAAATACAAATTTATATATTTATTGTGGAAGGATATAATTAGGAAGAAGTATGAAGAAATTCTATCAAAGAAAGTGGATGAAAATAGATTAAGTTAACCCATTTAGGACCATAGTTACGTTAACGCAACGTTCGCAAAATGATTTTTTTTAATATTTAAAAGCATTGATTTTTGATCAGAAAAATACTATTCATTTGAAGTTGAACGTTGCGATAACGCAACATTGGGACCTAATAACTACCAGTAGGTATACATATGAATTGCATTCGTAAATTTGTCTGAAGTTGTTTTTGTGACTGCAAATAGTTAGTTAGGACGGCATTCAGAGTCGTTGATTAATTAAATAAAAATTAAAAATTACTGTCTATAATAGAAAGAAGGAATATAACTTATGCCCCAAATTACGACAAAATTGGGAATATTATTGCTAGTAATAAATAAAGCATTTAAATACATATTTTATTGCATTTAGGTAAAGAGAAGAGAAAAATTGTTTACGCAAATATAATTTTTTTGACACCTTTTTGTTCTTTTCACAGTAATGCTTAAAAAAAGTTCACTATGTACATATAACATTATAATTTTTGTAGTAAGTGTGGCGAAGTGAGTGCATGCATCACAATATGTGACTCAAGAACTTTTTATGATGGTATATACAATTTTGTAGTGGTATAAATATATATGCGTCAGGGTATATTAGCGACTTTAGAGTAAGGTGAAATATCAATATAATTCAAAAAGGCCTTTAATGCTTAATCAACGAAATAATTGATATTTGTTATGTTTCAAACGAAGTTAACAGTTTGACCAATGAGGAAGATATTGATGAAGAAACTATCGGTGGAATACAAGATTTGTCATCTGACATTGTCAGAACATTTGAAATACTATTACCAGGAAAAAAAATGGTGGCGGCCGTTATTTATAAATATGTTAAACTCCGCACTAGTAAATGCTTGAAAATGCACAGGCAAACCAATTTCTCAGTTGGATTTTAGATGGAAACTTGTAGGAAGCCTTATTAGTGTCAACAACAGTTAAGATATACCAGAGAACGTGGTATCACTGGTCCTTAATGGGTTAAATGAAAGATGGGCGATAAAGAAAACTTATCTAAAGAAAACAAAGACGTGAAAGTTATGATGATTAAAGAGGGAACAGAAGAAAGTGAAAGAAATTGTGATTGAGGCAAATAAGCAAAATTAGACAGAGTTCGGAGATAAAGCTGCAGAGATACAGCAAGAAAAAACAAAAGTTCTTTTTTAAAATATTAAAACCTTGGAAGACTCTCTAGGAAAACAAATAGTTGAGACTAAAGCTGTAAAGGATAAAAGCGTAAATGGTCAAAATGAGATAAAGTTACCGGCCCCTGTACCACAAAAAAGAAACAGAAGCAAGTGAGCAGATAAGCATGGAAGAGTTGGAAACGGTAACAATAGAATAAAAAATGAAAAAGCTCTTGGTCAAGATAGATTAACCACAAAAATGACAAAATATATGGGATCACAAGGAACAGAAGTGTTATTGCATGTACTACAGCAAGTGTGGCAAGAAGGTCTTTACAAGGCGGAGGATTGAATCCAACCCAAGTCATAACCTATATGGACGAGATAACAAAAAGTGTAAAAAGAGATAAAAAAATTTGTTGTCGAATATAAAAAAAGAAGTTCTAGAAGGAGCATTCGCGGATGACGTGATTATCGTGACTAGAGGCGAAAAAGAAGTAAATAAAAATTTTAATATAAATAAATCGAATGAGAGTACAAAGGATTTTGGCATGAAGATGAACAAATCGAAAAGTAAAGTTATGGTGATAGGTACTAATGCAAGATTCAAAATAGCAATTGATGAAATCAAGCCAAAAGTTTAATATGTAAATATTGAAATTTTTCTTGTATTCTCATTGCACTCTCTATTATGGAAATCAAGATTGTTTGCGACAAATAACATTTAAAAGAAGCAAATATCATAGTTAGAATCCTAAGTGTTTGTGTCACTTGAGATTTTCACAAATTTGTAACTCACGTAGTTTAATTGAATAAGTAACACTTTTTAATATACGAATCTTATAAAAAAAATATCGACATTATATTATCTTCAGAGACTGTTAAATCTTATTTTTAATATGAAAAAGTCGCCACTAAGTTGCAGTTAACAATCATTTACATAAACTAATTGCATAAGAATAACAAATAAGAAGACAGAAAGGTTCAACTTTAAAATTAACATGGACATAATTAATTTAACAAATAAATAAAATAATTATTTAAATAAATAATAAAATCTCGTATAACATGGTTTCAAGTTAGCACAATATGTGTTATAGAAGGAACCTTATATACCATCAACTTTTCTTTGAACAGATAAAAACTATGTCATGCACACATTTTTTCAAGATCAAGCAATTTTGCGATTTATCGAAAGAAAACTTACAAGATTTTTTTATGATTTTAAGTCATAATACAGAATGATTATTTTTACACATTAACTAGTGTAGCGATTGTTGGAGTTGATTTTAATTTTTAAAGTTATTTTTTGACTTTAATTTTAAAGCATTGGAATTGAGTCGGAATTGATTCATGAGAATCAAGTCAAGTATTCAATACTATTCAAATCTGATTCGAGTCCAATCAACATCAAAAGTGGCCGATATACAAAAAAGATTATAATTTTATCTTGAATAATTTGTGAACAAATTTGACAAAAAAAATTAAACTATTACCTGGTAAACTTAGGAATTGTCTTCAAAAGTTATACTACATAAAACCGTAGTTGGTGTCATTATATTGCTGATCAAAATAACTTTCTTAAAGGTGTTTGTAATTTCAGTGCACAGTTAACTGGTGCACAACTGAGACAAATTGGTACCATCTATCATTTTAAAGGCCTCACCTAAAATACAAAAAAAAAATTAGATAAAAATATATTTCACATTTTATAACTATAGAAATGTATTATTGTAACTAGTCAGAAGTAAATGTCATCAATGTATTTTTTATTTATCAGAATGACAGATTTACACAATTTGTGAATATATTAAGAATTCAAGTTGAGGATGTATGATGTAGCCTTGATATCACGGGAACTGCCAGATAAAATAGCATTACGAATTATACAGATTTGTTGAAACTTGATCAAAATGAACAAATAAAAATTAAAATTAAGCTAATTGTTCAAATAGTATACCTTGCTGATTTTTTGTTCATCCAAAGTATTTGGTCCAGTGGTGTAAACTTAAAGGAAGACGTCCGGCAGAGTTAAATCTGGTGATAATGCAGTCCAGTCAATTGGGCCATCGATTGGAAAATAATTGGATTAAATAACAGGAACAGCATAGTGAGGTGGCACGCAATCTTCTTGGAGAAATCACTGCTGCTGGAATTGAATTTATTTATTTAGGATGCAAACGGGATTAAGCCCAAAGTAGCAGACAGGAAAAATAAAGAAAAAAAACTTCTAGTAAGTAAATTCTAGTAAAACTAAACCATCTAGTAAGTATTTTAAAAGATCCATTATATTAGAGGTATAATATATGTTGAAATGAAATAAGTAATAATAAGTAGGCCTCTTAACCTCTAAAGTTTTTTATTAATTAAGTTTATGTACTTGGTACTAGTTTCGACATATTGTGATGTCATCATCAGCCAAATCTACAAAAGGATATAATAACTATAATGACCTTAAAAAATATATAAAAAACAATAAAACTGCATAAATATATCTCAACTTACAGTCAAATAGTTAAAAAATCACGCTGAACAAACAATAACGATGAAGTCGACATGCTTAACAAAGGCCACAAATTCGCCATTCAAACTCAACCAGACATCCATTTAACAGCCATAGAGATTGACTGTGTCATCAACAAATTACCCAATCGCGACAACATAAAAAATGACATCATTCCTATTCTGAAAAGTTATGAAAAGTCATGCTGCAATAAAGGGAGATCATTTAATCAGAAGAATAATATTAAAAACCTTAGCCATAAAAACTATAAAACAAAAATTTCTAGCAACAATGCACTATACGTGAAAGCAAACAAAAATGCAGTATTGACAAGGATGAATACAACAAAAAAACAATTAATTTCTTAAAAGAAAATGGTTACAAAGAAATTAAGAAAGACCCATTAAATTCAATAACAGCTAAAACTAAGAATGTCATCAATAAACATAAAGATACTATCACAAATCTTGGTCAAAACCTATATTTTCTAATGCCTATGAACTGCTTCATACCACAACTTTATTCTCTCATAAAACTCCATAAGGACAATTTACCCATTAGGCCTATAACCACATGTCTTGATTCTCCTACCTCTAAAATTACTGATTTTATGTATGGCATTTTTAAACAAATTTACTATAAACCAATACACTCTCTGAAAAACTCATTACAACTCATCATAAACTTAAAACATATTTCACCTAATAATAATACACTGGTATCCTTCGATGTGGTCAATCTATACACAAGTGTTGATACCACTTACACTTTAAAGGCGATTGAAGACATATTCTTTCAACATTCTAAAGATAAAATCATCACTGCTGACTTAATTGAAATACTTAATCACATATTTCAACAAAACTATTGTCGCTTTGATAAAAAAGTAATTAAATTATTAGCTGATTTGTATTTAGATAATATTGAAAAAACTTCATTGTTAACTTAAAAAATCCATTTTTTAAGAATATCATAAAATGGTATAGATACGTCGACGACATTATATGTGTATGGAATGGAAATAAATTCGATCTTGATAGTATGCTATCTTAACAACATCCACAAGAATCTTAAATTCACCTTAGAGATAGAAAAGGACAACTGCTAAATTTCCTAGACTTAAAAATACAAAAAATTGACTATAATTTTAAGTTTGACATTTTTAGGAAGCCCTCATCTTTAAATACTGTCATCCCTTATGATTCGTTCCATCCCAACAACTACAAATTAGCTGCTTTCCAGGCTTTTATTGTCAAACTATTGAAATATCCTCTAGAGTATACATCCAGACTAAAAGAACTAAATTTTATTAACAAATTAGCAAGAGAAAATGGTTATCCTTGTAGTACCATCGACCAATTACTGTTTAAAAACCTCATAAAACTAGACCCTTTATACTCTACGAATAAAAATAACTTTGACAATTATAAGACAATAACATACAACAAAATAAACTACAAAATTAAAACCATACTACAAACCTATGGTGTATTTGTCAGCTTTAAATGTAAAGGACAACTAGGTGATTTCATTTCCAACTACAAACAAAAAGAAAACACTGGATTGTAGTGGTATTTATTCTGTTAAATGTTGCGATTGTTCTGCTATATATGTTGGTTAGACCGGTCGAAAATTACAAAAAAGACTATGCGAACATAAAACCAGATGCACTTTGAATATTTTCAAACATAAATTAGAAACAGGCCATAACATTGATTATGACAATGTACAACTCCTACATAAGTGTAAATAAGGTTTGAAAATGAATTTCCTTGAAATGTTCAAAATCGATAAACTTAAGCATAATGATAATTATCTTACTTTAAATGATCAACTCGAAAACTATTATAAACCACCATACGCCTTTTTGTTATTTTTTCAAAAAGGAAAACACTTTAAAACATTTTAAAATTATTTTACTGTGATATTTTTATTCCTTTTTGTAACCGGTTTTAAATTTAGTTTGATGTTGATTTAAAAGTTGGTTTTTGGAGTTCAATTGTGTAGGGTGTTGTGTTTTCTTGTTTAGAATAGTTATTTTCATGTTTCTTTTAAATAATGTTTTATTTTAAGGTAGAAATTTGTTTGTTCAGCGTGATTTTTTAACTATTTGACTGTAAGTTGAGATATATTTATGCAGTTTTATTGTTTTTTATATATTTTTTAAGATCATTATAGTTATTATTGAAGAGAACTTCATACTCTAACTTATTATCATAAATTGATTACTACTAAAATCCCTATATATTTGTACAATAAGATTTTTTTCAGGTGCGACATTCACAATCGTGAAACTAGATTTAGGTGCTGCATAGACCCGCCTCGACACAGAACGTCACTTTTCCAAAGATCTTTTTCTTTTCATATATATAAGTCATACGGGAGCATTGGTGACGAGTTGAGGAATCTCGATGTTAATTGTTTTAAAAAACATTTGAGGGCACGGTTACTTGGAGAGCAGGTGACTACTATTTTTGGCAGAGACCGGTGAGTCACAGTTTTGCTGCGAATATTTCTTTACTTTATTTAAGATATTGTTTTCTTTCTTTTTTTTTATTTTTGTAGAGTTAAGGTTTATGATGTATTTCATATCTCTCTAATAATTGTCAAGGCTTGGATTGAAAATCAGTTGGTATACAACTGAATCTTTGCCTCATGATTGCACTATTTCTGTTTCTCTTGTTATCGTTCTTTTTTTTTTATTATTTTATTTTATTTGGTATGATACTTTACTGTAGTACATTATGTTATTAATTATCTCATTATCTTTTTATTATAATTTGTTTTTACTTTTATTTTTGTAATCAGTTATTTATAATTATTTTTCATTTTTCCTGATGAATGTGCAATAAAGGCTATTACTATTATATCCTTTTGTTGATTTGGCTGATAATGACATCATAATATGTCGAAACTAGTACCAAGTACATAAACTTAATTAATAAAAAACTTTAGAGGTCAACAGGCCTACTTATTATTACTTATTTCATTTCAACATCTAATAAGTAAGTGCCCATTTTAAGAATACATTTACTATTATAAAATAATATAAGTTTCTGTTCATTTAACATTTTTTTATAAAAATTCTTACCTCATCCATGCCGACATCTTGTTCTTAATCATCTCCGCAATGCAGAATTGAAAATCTGCCTCTTTTTTGTTTTTCTTCGATGACAATTGACGAAAGTTTTGACGTAAACGTTACAAGAGATATTCCATATGCAATATTATATATGGACATTTCTACAGCGCTGTTTATGTAGAAACCGTTAACACCACAAAAGAAGCTTCTCCGAGATCAGCTCTTCTTTGAAAGGAAAATAGAATCCACAAACGGAATCCAGATGTCACGTACGGTACGAGTAATGCAAGGTCAACAAAAAAGCTTATGCAGCGTATAGGTAGGCTTATGCGTCACTGAAACGACATCTGGTGGCAAGTATAGTTTGGTTTCCCATTAATAGATGGCAAGATTTAAATTATTTTACATTTTTGGATACAATTTACTTTTATTATTTTTTATGTATTTATAGAGCAGTATTTAATTGCAAATATAATTTAATATTTAAAGAATATGAGCGTTATCCTATCCCAACATGCGTACAGTTCCACGCAAAAGTATAAATACATCTATTATAAATATATGTATTTGAATTGATAAAAAAATATGATTCCATGAAAATAATCCTTTAAAGTTATAGTTCATTACGTTACATTTTTTTCAAAAAAAGAAAGTAAAAAGCCGGAAGTTTCTGCCAGTTTCAAAGCCTTTAATATTCATTTCAGTTCACACTGAGAGAAAAAGTGACGTATATACAACGAATTTCTTCGTTGTAACAATGAAAATAACGATAAAATCTGTCCGATGAAAAAGTACGTTGACACGACGAACATTTTGCACAAAAGGATGAACTCGTTCATTGATTAATGTAAATTTATTATCATTATAATTATGTGCAGGATTATCCTGGCAATGATACTACTTTATAGTATCGATTAAAAATGTTCATTGCTGCAATAACATCATACAATGTAATTATGTACAGGATGTCCCAATTTCGATGTCCGTATAGGCTATCTGCGAAACTAAAAGAGATAGAAAAAAAGTAGCTTACATGTCATGATCTCGTTTTTTGAGAAAATGCTAATGCCGAAAACTCCGAACAGCTATCGTCTTTTGTTTTCGCCCTATCGGCAAAAACTGAAAATTTTGCGAAAACGACAATCGCGAATATCTCACTTATTATCAAAGATGGAGTATTATAAATAAAACATTATATGGGCAACTTTTTACGAAGAATTCAGTGGCGTAGGTAGAATTTTTTTCCCATCTTTTATTTTCGAGATTTTAGACGTAACTTTATTTTTTTAAATGGAAACCATAGTTGGCTATGACTTAAAATAATTTGTTATTTTCTTCTGATAACAAATATATATAGTTTGTGGGGTATATTTCTTATAGTTATTGAATAATTAACAAAAATTCATTTTGTTCTATCTAAAACTAATGTATGTATTTAAAAGTTAATGTTGCTATGGTGATAACCATACATACTATGATGGAACATAATGTATCAATTTTTTTTGTTCTTTCTAAAACTATTGTATGTATTTAAAACTTAATGTTGTTATGGTGATAACCATACCATGATGGAAAACATTGTTTCCAATTATTGCCAAAGTTTGTAGTAGTATTTAAAAATTCACTAACAACTCTGGCATTATGTGCTGGTGCTCCGTCATATTGAAAATATATCATTTGAGACATATTTAATGGCAAATTGTCGACCAAAGGCTCAATGTGCTGCCTTAATATATTGAGGTATTTCCCTGAGTTTAAGTTTTTATGGTAGATACTATATGCCAAAATTCTATTATCTAAAAGGGCACACCATACATTGAACCCCAATCTTCTTTGAACACTCAGAGACTTCATCGGTCCAGATAACATTTTGAACAAACAGCAGATTATTTAATTTTTTTAAATATCATCTACAAAATTCTAATCTTCGATTGACATCTCCGGCACGTAAATAATGAGTTAGCCCCGCTTTGTATGGTTTATACTTATTTTTCTTTCATATTCGGGAGCAGCGGCTTTTGGGTCAGACGTCTTGTTGCAATTTCTCTTGCAGGTCATTTTGGTATGTTTTTGTATGTGGTTTGGGGAAGGACCAAATATCTATTAAATTTTCTGCTAACCGGCTGAAGGTTCTTACGTGCGGTTGTCTTCTTTCTGGATATCTTGTGAAATAAAATTCCGCGGCTAACGTCGCATTCTTATCTGATAACATATAGCATTCCATCATGTTACATTTTTCATAATTTTCGAAATTCATTGTAAAGTTTTATTCAGTTTTGTTATACTTTGACACTTAACACGCTGGTGCATAATGCCAGCACATAATGCCAGAGTTGATATCGAATTTTTAAATACAAACTTTGGCAATTATTTGATACATTATGTTCCATCATAGTATGTATGGTTATCACCATAGCAACATTAACTTTTAAATACATACATTAGTTTTAGACAGAACAAAATGAATTTTTGTTAATTATTCAATAACCATAAGAAATATACCCTACAAACTATATATATTTGTTATCAGAAGAAAATAACAAATTATTTTAAGTCATAGCCAACTATGGTTTCCATTTAAAAAAATAAAGTTACGTCTAAAATCTCGAAAATAAAAGATGGGAAAAAAATTCTACCTACGCCACTGAATTCTTCGTAAAAAGTTGCCCATATAATGTTTTATTTATAATACTCCATCTTTGATAATAAGTGAGATATTCGCGATTGTCGTTTTCGCAAAATTTTCAGTTTTTGCCGATAGGGCGAAAACAAAAGACGATAGCTGTTCGGAGTTTTCGGCATTAGCATTTTCTCGAAAAACGAGATCATGACATGTAAGCTACTTTTTTTCTATCTCTTTTAGTTTCGGAGATAGCCTATGCGGACATCGAAATTGGGACACCCTGTACAGGTTTATCTTTCTAATGATGCTAGTTCACAGTATCAATTAAAGCTGTTCATTGAGCCAATAACATCATACGTTCTTATAATGTACACATTAATGCTGCTAATGAAGCTACTTCATAAAATATTCATTTATCCAATAAATATTGTTCATCAGGTACATGAACATTATACGTTGGGACAATGAAATTATTTGTTGCTTTAATGCTAACTGTTAATTAACACTACTTACCTAATCACGGCATTTAATGTCACGGCATGACGGTAGTTATAACCACCGTACGCTAATAATTTCTATCAAGGGAAGCTATGAAAATGAAAACTTCTGTCCTCGATTATACCTATAATGTGACAAGTGGTAAAAATTGTAAGTGTGATAAGGTAGTTGATAAGTTTTTCTTATCATAATTTTCTTGAAAGAAATGGTTGAAAAATTGATCACAGGGTATCTTTTATCCTTCACACATTCAGTAATTTTCTAACATAAATAAGGTAATGCTCAAAACTTTAAACTTTAATTTAAAAATATTCTCGCCAATGGCCATCACAAAAGGTTGTATTAGTGCAGCCACACAGCGGCTGCTACGCCACCATCTAGAATTAACAAAATAAATTCAAACAAGGTGTGAAGAAATCCAATTAAGTAAAGCATATTTAGATGAACTCACCTTCATCATCATCGGTACGCATTTCTCGTAATTGATTTACGATGTTGCGTATGCCTTTTTCTTTGACATAATTTTTGTCACTTAGGAATCCATAATTATCTCCTCACATTGCTTAAACTTCATTAACAAACTATCGTGATTAGTATCAAACCCTGCCGTAACGTCCATGTTAATCTGTAATATAACATGTTGTAAGCTTTTCTGGTATAATTACGAAAGAGATATTGTTTATACCAAACGAAACCCATATGACCTTTTATAAAATGGCCATTTTTCAAGTAATTGTGATGTTGGGGCTACCGATTTAAGATCTGTAAAAAAATGTAAGGTTTAAAAAAAAACAAGCAAGGTTGAGTATTTTGAAGAACAAAACTTATTTTATCAAAAATTATCTCAGCTCAAATAGAAATCTACAACAATTTAATAGTTTTTATAACAGGTAAAACAAAACAGTATTTTACTTACCAAATTACACAATTTACTAAATTCACTTCACCCGGAAGTTTCCTTACGCGAAGGAACACGTGATATAAGCCAATGAGCTAGCACAGAATAAAGAAACTATTCTTGGAAACAAGCAGAAACCGGTAGAAACAAGTAAACAAGGTTCGTAACGGACGAATTGTAAATCATAACTTATTGGATTCGTTCAGTTTTTTTAATGTTTAGTAGAAAGTTTTTTTAAACTTGGCGTTCTTAAATAATATTGTTATTGGCACAACAAATTATATCGTTATTATAATGAATAAAATACGTCTCCCTAATAAAATAATTTGTTGAGACAATGATCATTTGTACATTAATATCAATAAATCGGATTCGTAATATTAATAATTATGTTTATCAATTTTTCTTCGTTGTGTACATTAAAGTGATGAACTTGTTCATTGGCCAATAAACGTATACATGAATACTACGCATTCGTGTTATTGATTTTTATTATCAGCATAACGACAAGTTTCATTGATGTAATGATTGAATACTTCGCCCAAATTAAAAAGGTTGTTGCCAGAATAACTTTTGTACATTAATTTCAATAAATCGGATTTGTAATATTGATAAATGCATTATAGAGTCACCAAGAAAAATCTATAACATTTTCATAATATCAATGAAAATTTCAATGTGACAATGAAGTTGCTATTAATAAACGCTGTTTATTAATAATACGTACAAAATTTATTTCAGTGCAAATTTTTAGCTGTCACGTTAATAATTTCTATTATACACTATATAGTAGGGGTGGCCAAGCTCCTTGATAGTCCGAGCCATTTTTCAAAATTTGAAATTTTTCGCGAGTCGCAATTAAATACGTATACACTATGTCCCCGGATCGACTTAAAAAGAGAAAAAAAAAATTTTATTACTGATTTTTCAAACTTATCTCAGCATAAATAATGAGTCGGATATGTTCAAACCACTAAATCGCACGAACTAAACTTAACTAATTATTCCCATTTTTATGTAAAAATTAAACTTTTCCTAAATTAAAAATTTTTCAAGTTCAATTTACGATATGTAACCATAGAAACCATAAAAGTTACAACTTATGTTAGTGAAAAATATACGGACAAATCAAATTAAAATTGATTAATGCACTCCAATAATATACAACCAATCAGAGTAACGATCGTTTAAAATTTCGACCAATAACGTGAATTTCTAAGTGGATAAAAGTTACCTAGGTTTTTCAACTGAATAAATCACACGTNTTGAAAAATTTTCAATTTAGAAAAAAGTCCAATTTTTACATAAAAATGGGAATAATTAGTTAAC